ACCTTTGATTATAAAAAGTATTCGATAGAAAAAAAAAATTGTAGAAACTCTTACACTTATTATGAACTTTCTAAAAAATAAAATTTTTGAACAATCTTTAAATATGATTTTATAAAATTTGAGGATAATCGTAGACTTAAGTTAATAATAACTATGTGAGACAATAGAAGTTTATATGGATAGTTCTAGAAAAACACCCGGCCCTCAGAAGTGGATACAAAGTGCCCTCGTTTTATAGCCATTTTAATTTGTTTCTATAGTAGAATAGTTACTATCCTAGTGTCTCATTTTTATTTTACTTAGTTTACATGTTTTTCATAATTGTAAAGCGCTTAGAGCTTTGAGGTAAGCGCTATATCCAAAAATGCCTAAATAAATAAATAAATATTAATAGTTTAGAATAAAACTTCTATATCCAGGGTATGACTGTCTCGTTTGGCCTCCAACCATCAGTTCACATAGAACCCTATATTGTTATCTAAGTCTACTGGTATTTATAAAGCTTATAATGAAAAGATAAAAATATGGACCCCTGGCTCCAAAAGTGGTAAAAAATATGAGTTCATAAAACAAAATCTCCCCCCCCCCACCCCGAAGCGTAGCGTGGTGGGGGCAGCGGGGGACAGATGTCCCCGGGCGCCAGCTAGTTAGGGGCGCCAAAATGTGCTTTGTTATTATTTTATTGATGAAAATAATAGGTTTGAGAGTTGAAAAAAAGAAAAAGGCGCGCTTAAAATGGATCTTGTCCCCGGGCGCGAATCTTGTCCCCGGGCGCCAAACACCCTCGCTACGCCACTGCCCCCCCCCCCCCCCCCCCCACCCCCCCCGTATTTCTATAGACAATCAAGTGCGCGTGCGCAAAGTTTGATCTAGATTGATTGGACGAGATCTTTCTACAGCTAGATCTTTCTGCTGCAATGAGTAGTAAAGATTGGTTTTCATACTTCAAGTTCGTCAACAAGGTCACACTGCGTTTTCTGACAAGTCCTATATCAAGAACAACGTAAAATTTAGTTCAAGCTTCTCTCTCATCTGGTCGTACAATAATTCAAACCCAATAGCGCAGCTCGCTACTGAAAAAGTACAGGCAGCAACTGCCAAACGAACAGCACAGATTAAATAGACAGACTATACATTATATATAATAAGTCACAGCTGCATAAATAATCTGGCCACGATGTGTCACAAGCTTCAAGGCGCCAAAAGCGTTTATTAACCAAAATAACACTGAAGGCAAACCCTGCACAATAAAACACAACATTCGATGCGCAACAATTAATTACTGGTGAATATCCATGATCGACATACACGCCCCCCCCCCAACTCCCCACACACACAAACACACTTTCATTCCAGATTTAATTCACGGATTAAATCGGTACCCATTTTTTTAAAAAAAACACATAAATTCAAATAAATATCTTAAATTTGAGACCCTTGAAACAAATGCCATGTCCCCGAGAATTTGAGAACCCATGAAATATTAACAGTGTGTTTATGCACTCACGGCTTTAGCCTAACGCTCGCCACAATATAAGAAGCCTTTAGTTTATCTGGTTCCTTCAGTGGGGGGAGACGTTCAATCAGGTTCGAAACATGGAAATGAGCGAAACAAAGTATGGGGAAAACACGTACAAACAAAGAACGCAACAATGCAACGAACATGTCGGCAAGAAACATTCATCAGCGAACAAACAACAAAAGCAGAATTAACTCATGTAGGATACTATATTTCAGCTGTTATTTTACCCCAGACATTACCCCAGGGTTTATTTACACCAGGGTTTATTTACACCAGGGTTTATTTACAACAGGGTTTATTTACAACAGGGTTTATTTACAACAGGGTTTATTTACAACAGGGTTTATTTACAACAGGGTTCGCTTTGATTCTGCAGCAAGGCGTGCCATTAACTACAAAAAGCATCATGACCAGTGGCGCTCAGAGCTGCCCCTTCGTGTGTCAACGGCCATTCCCAATAACTTTCACTGCGTTGACTCTGCGTCCTCTTCCTCTTTCCTTGCGCGGAAACCTAACAACATCAACCTCGAGGTCCCCGTGACCCGACCACTTTGCAAACACGTTCACATCCAGGGCCGGCCTTTGGTACAGGAACAGGAAAGCAGACCTGAAGCGCCAAATTCTAGGGGCTTCAAATTATTGATAATACGTATTATGAAATGCTGAATTATTGATAATACAATGGAATGCTGAATATTCTTTTCTTTTATTATTATTTTATTTTATATTTTTATTATTACTGACAGCAAAAATTAAAATAACAAGACCATATATATATATATATATATATATATATATATAAGTATAAGTGAAAGTTTGTTTGTGGGTTAGTTTGTTCCACAAAGGCTTTTACATGGATTGATGGATCTTGACCAAACTTGGCACACATATATCCATCAGTATCCAGAAGGAGCTCTTAAGGGGTTATGAACTTTGTATAACATTCGGTTGGGAGCCGGGGCCCCAAAGTCGTTTTTTTCCTCTCCTATGTGAGCTATAAAAATAAAATTAACAACAAATACTCCTACATCCAGAGATGGATAGCGACCAAACTTAGTACACATACACTTGATGATCAATAATAAAAAAAAACAGAAGGGTACTGTCCCCATAATATCCATCCCTCTGGGGCAAGGGGCCGAGTTGAATTTTTCCTTATATAAGCTATATAAATAACAAATAGGCTTAAACAACACTATAGGTTCTATGTGAATTGATCGATGTAAGCAGAGCGTAGTAGAAATACCCTTCAATGTCCGTATTGAAAGATCAGAGGATTTAAAACTAATAATATCCAATCTAGAATTTTCCAGAAAGTTCCATAATTTTAAAAAGCTATTTCTATGGCATTTTAAAGTAGATTAAAATTTTAAATTTCAACTTTATTATTTATCTGTCTGATTTTATAGGGTCCACTATCTCAGGCCTAACTATATCGGTAAAGTTATGCAATTGACCCCCGGGGCCCCTCGATTAACTTAATAGAAAAAGGATTATAATTATGGCATTTGCTGAAGAATTTTATCGTATTTGAAAAATAGTTATATAAGTAGTTTTTACATATGTTTCGAGCAGGTTATTAAATTTAATCTAGAATGTTCCAGAAAGTTCTAAATTGTTCCAAGCGGATATATAGGTGGAGCTAAGGGAATATTTAAATGTTAGTTCTATTCATTTCTATAATGTCCCGAAGTTTACTGTTCTCTAGGTAACACTGAGTAACTTTTTTATTCGGTATAGAAACAAAGGGGTCGGGATCCCATCATAATCTTTATCCCAATGGGATTAGGATCCCACTAGAAACGGGATCACACCAGGATCAGGATCTCAACCTTAAATATATCCACTGGGATCGGGATCACACCGGGAAACAGAACTGCACCTGGATCGGTGTCAGAATGGGATTGGGGTCCTAATGCAATCCCGGGCCACGCCGGGTATATCGGTTAGTAAATACATAAATTTTAAACAATGGGGGAGGAATTTGTAATTGGGACACTCTAGATAAGACGGTGTTTAAGTCAGATTTGCCTTTTCTGCACAGCAGAGCACTCCGCTGGAATAGATTTTTTAAATTATTCATTTTAACCAATTTTTTTCTTTTCCTTTCTTATTTTTCTTTTATAAAATGGCAAATTTTAAATATCATAATTATTTTGTTAGAATAAAATTTTCTAATAATTTTTTAAAATTTATTTGGAACAATTGTGCCAAATTATTATATTACATGAGATACTTGTTTTCAATGCGGATTAAGAAAAAAAATGAAAGGTGGGGCGCGGTTTTTGATTTGTTTGTTCGAATTGTTTGTTTGCCTGCTTGTTTTAAGTGTGTAAGGGGGTGGGGTGAGGGTGTTTCAAAGATTAAGAAAATAACCGTTGTCACACAAACACACACATAAATCGTGGAGAGTATATTTAATTGTAACTGTAATAATTTGTCTTCGTTTTAATTTTATTAAAAAAACTAACAGCACGCAACACTGCTAAGCAAAATAATTAACAAAGCTAACACGAAAAGAAGAGTGGTTTAGTAGATATGGGTTATGGGCACGAAGGTAACATAGGAGTTCACACACATGCCAACAGTAAGACGTGTGTTCATCATACATGGCAACTGAATTTAAGTGACCGTTTTAGCAAAAACAGTTAAAGACAGAGACAAACACTGCTTGCGTGATGTATAGTTTATGCAGTGTCTATCTATGCCAGGCCTGCACAACATATGGCCCGCGGGCCGCATGTGGCCCGCCAGCACCCACTTTGTGGCCCGCGAAGTAATGAAATATTCTTTATTTTTAGTATTTTTTTAATAGCTTTCCCCCCTGTCCTATTTTCTTTGGCCCGCACAAGACCTTTCCTATTTTCTTTTGGCCCGCACAAAGTTTTCGTAAAGTATTATGGCCCGCCTTACATTTTGAGTTGTGCAGGCCTGATCTCTTCAGTCTTCAGTAAACAATTCATGAAGGTTAAATAAAGTTTTTTTTTCCAATCTTTCTTTGATCGCCATCTGGGCCATCTTTCTAAATGATACTTCTCTCTCTCTCTCTCTCTCTCTACCTCTCTCTATTTCTTTCTTTTGGAAAATACTCCTATTGCACATATGTATAATAATTTCAAAGGAAAAACATGTAGAGGTTAATTTATATTGAACCATCACCCACAGCCCCCCCCCCCCCCCCCCTTTTGACACTTGTCAAACTTTTCCCTCCCCGCCTCCCCCATTTAATTTTAAATTTTGTTGGCGTAATTCCTGGACGGCCGCTTAGCAAGTCCATGGTGGTTATTTTTAACTTTAAAATTTCATTTGGCTTGCGTTATTACTTAAATAATTTAATGAAGCTTAATTAGTCTAATTGCAATTAGTTTAAAAAATATACGAAACGAAATTTAAGTCAGTAATGTTTTTGTTGTTCAGTAATACGAGAGAGAAAAAAAAGGCAACAATTCTTGGAATTCCCGTTTTCTTCGGGGTTTTCCGTCGATTTTCGATTCATTAATTTTAAAGTAATTGAAAGTTTAAAGTGTCACTTTCCCATCACTCTAATCTTTGTAATTCAAGTAATTGAAAAGTGTGTAAATTTTTTAGGATTAATAATTTACCAATAATTTTATTCCAAATAATGTAATGTACCTAGCCCTATTAAATATTAAGTTAATTTATTGAGTCATATGACATAAGTCTTAAGTCTTAAGTTATTAAGTATTAAGACTTCTTAATATTAAAATCAAAAAGTATAACTTTGAGTTTGAGAAATCATAAAGTTTTAAAGTAAAAGTCTAAAAGTATTAATTATAATTATTAATAGTATCAGTATTATATTTAAATTAATGTACTATTTTAATTATTAGTAGGCCTAGTTAATTATTTATAATTATAATATAATAATAAGAAGAATATATATATATATTATGATAGATTATTAGTAGTTTAGTAGCTTGTCCAACTTGTTCATTAATTATTATCTCCCATTCAACATTCTCATTGAATTGATTCATTCATTAATGATTCATTTCATTGATTCAATCATCTTAGACTTTAGTCTTAGTGTGATTTTGACTGTCTGACAATTCATTAAATGGCATTTAAATCATTGAATATAATATAATTTATAATATAATACTGAAATAGAGTAGGCCTATGGCCTATAGGCATAGGGCCCAAATATGTTGTAAATCTTTAGTTCATAACAAAATTAATTTAACTGAAAGTTAAAGTATTCTTCAGTCTTTAGTAGGCCTAAACATGTCTCAAGAGTCATAATAAACAACTTGGCCCCAGGGCCCAGAATCAGAACAGATCACAAACTATTCTATATGGTTTTTAAAACTTCTAGTAGGCACCTTAAACTTCTAGGTATATTTGTTTCTATCCTGTTATTAGTATTATTGCCCATCAGTATCAGGGTTTTGTAAGGTCAAATTCTGCACTTATATTTATCAATTAATGGTATCTTGTTAATAATTCATGCTCGTCTAGTGGGTTTTTACCCGCCAATTTTCAAATACATTCGACAAGTTGCATGAGGCTTAGAGCTAGGCTATCATTAACATGCGGCAGCAAAATAAGTTTGCAAGAAGGCCTCCGATCCGGGTCTCATGCTACCAGTTACAAAGTTGGAATCAGACCCATGGCCCATGGGGCACAATTCTTTGTGAGTTGCCATTCAAGAGCTACTCATTCAGTAATGATTCATGCAATTCTAAGCTTGGTTTGGCTATTTTGATGAATTGACTGCATTCCAGATATCAGTTATAAAAATAACATAATAAAATATCCTAATAGTTTAAATTGCATCTTACTCTTAGTTGTGATATTATGTCATAGCCTAATCTCTAATTGATTGGTAAGTACATTTAAAGTATTGTATTCCTTTTATTCAAATCTAGTATCACAGCCATAGAGGATTGAATTAGAAATTGTTCACTTAAGTCTAGACCTTACCATTCCAAAATGGCAAATGTTTCAGGTAAAACCAATACAAATTATTTTAAAGATTTATTTTACACATTTTAATTAAAACTCTGCCAGTATGTCAGCATTGTCATCTCAACTTTGAAAAATATACTCTGCGCATGGCACACAGTTACAACAGCAGTGTATAGGTACAACCAGGCCCGGTTTAACCACTAGGCGAACTAGGTGGCCGCCTAGGGCGGCAAATTTTTAGGGGGCGGCACTATTAATTAAATAATTAGTTGCCGTGGGCATGAGGGGCGCAGTGCGACAGGTTCACCTAGGGTGCCAAATACTCTGGCGCCGGCCCTGGTTACAACCACACAAAATTGAAAACAGTCAAGGAAGATCTTGGACATTTGAAGACTTGTTAGTAGGCGTTATGATAGGGCCTGGATAAGTTGGATAATATTATTAGATTGGGCGAAACCAAAATGAAACAACCCAGAAAAGTGGAGATCATTAGATTTCCAATGCGTTCCTCTATTGCTAGACAGTGTGGGGTGAACTAAGACAAATCACAGTTTCAAACACAGGTCACAATCATGCCCTTATGGGGGATAAGGGTTAAAATAAGACATATTAGAAGTTATGGAACCAGCTAAAAATGTCAAAGATTCATTTAAATGACAAAATGTTAGAGCACTCACAATTGGTTAGAATAAAAATGTCTTATTGTCAAAGTGGTTTACAACACAGTTAAAAATCAAAATTTAGAAACTTTTAAAAATACACCTGAAATTTAACATTTTTCCAATGATAAACCTGTACATCTTCAAATATGCAATACATTAAAATAAGAATGCTACCACGCATCATTGATTACTTATTTTCTTTTCTTATAGGTCAACTACATGGTCACTTCTGGTGTAAATATAAATTCATTAATTAGTCTTATGTGTAAAGAAATAGGTATAAGTAGTTTATGTATTATATTTATATAAGTAATCTATATCCTCAGCATCTCTAGCTCCTGAAATTCCACAAAATTGGACTAAAGGGGATGTTATAGGTAGAGGATCATATGGTACAGTTTACCATGTCATAGATCCAAACAGACCTGATGACAAGAGGTTTATTGTTAAAGAAATCCAAGTAACAAGTGCAAAGAAAGATAAACAGTCGGTAGGATCTGAAATTATATAAGATAACAAAAAAAATTAATTTGAAATAATGGTGCGATAGTTGTGATACTGGTATATTAATCATAATTAATGATGGTTTATTAAATGAATAACAGTTAAGAAAATTGAATGGAGCAGCCATTGTGCCATTTTGTAATGAAGTCCTTTAAAATTTGATCGTTTCAGAATATCACAGAATTAGAAATTCTCAAACGGCTCAACAATAAAAGGATAGTACCCTTCTACGGATCTTGTGAAATGCAGGATTCACTTTTGATATTTATGGGATACATGAAAATGGTAAGTTTTAATGGAAGTTTATTCAAGTTTGAATTGTCATCTCTATCCTGTTTCTAAATCCTCCCTACCATTTGCCTCCCCGATCTGAATTGGCCCTCTTATGAATCTCACCTTCAAGGTTTCGCTAAACAACATCATGCAATAGGAATTAACTTTTTTTCCTGCATTTAAAGAGTATTTTGAAGTATCAGAAGTGGTGGTATCATAAAATAAATATTACAGAGAAGTTTTATAAGCTGCATCAAGTTAACATAACAAATACAGCTACCTATAGTAAATATTTCACAATACTACCAGCTTATTCGAACATTTATTTTCTCTCTTAATTATTTTATTTAGCAGAATTTTGATAACAATTATTAATTATTAGAAATAACCCACTAAACCATGGCGGTGGCAATTCATGAACTTCCTATCTACTAAAATTACTTGACAAAACATGCATTCAAGTTGATATTTCAAGTAACTCATTTTATAAGAATCCCAATTAATGCTAAGTTCTCTGAATTTTATTTTGCGGGTCTATTGAACACAGCTTTACACCAATACTTACCTAGTGAATCATTATTTGTGGTATATAAATAGATAAACAAGATATGTTAAAAGTGAGCAGCTGGTAAAACAAGAAGGGACAGGATTAGAAACTAGGAAATTAAACAAATGGCTTGTGTCATCTCAACTGATAGATGGCCCAACAGCAATTATCTGGCAGTGGATGGACTATGTTAAGTTCACCCTCAAAGTCCACAACATGGACCAAACCTTGAGCAGGCCTCATACCTTGCAGCAGAGTACCAACTTTACCTTCCCATGACAATTCCTTGGTAGAGATGGACAGAAACAGGAAAATTTTACATCAATAGATCAATGTTGTTAACATATTTATTATTATTAATCAACTCTAGGTTAATTTTTTAAAATCGTAGTTTGTATTTTTCAGGGATCTTTATTTGACTATATCCAAAAGAAAAATGTACTCACAGAGGACAAGATCAGAATATTTACAAGGCAGATCCTAGAAGGCGCCGCCTATTTGCATAGCAGACAAACGCCAATTATACACAGGGATATCAAAGGTTTTTATCAGTTTGTTGGTTTCTCTTTTAGATGTCTACAAATATTTTTGTAATACTCTTTTAGAATCGACTTGCAAAAAAACATAATTTTTGTAAAATAAATTCATTCTTAACATAATTTTTTTTTTAAATGGATATGTTTTTATCATTTAGATTGTATTTAGTTAATTTCAAGTGAACTCAAAATACTAATAACTTATTCATTTCTTTCTCTCTTAATTCATTTGCCAGAACTTTGATCAATTTAGTTTTTTATATTTAAATATACAAATTTACACTACAAAATGTAATCAATTTTTTTTTAATGTATCTACACGTATTATGATTAAGGTGTAATTTTAAACACATGCCAAAACCAAACAAAAAAATTTGCATTGTTTTTCTCTAGGTCAAAATGTTCTGCTAGAAGATGAGTCCAACATAAAACTCACAGACTTTGGTCTATCAAAAATACTTCATGAACAGACAAATGCCCGCTCGTCACTGGGAACTTACAAATGGATGGCACCCGAAGTAATCAGTGTAACAGAAGGCCAGACCTATGACACAAAAGCTGATATTTGGTCAATATTTTTAGCATTATTTAATTTTATGTTATTTTATAAGACCTTTGCAGAAAGAAATGTAATTTCAGTTGTCCTTTTATCTATGGTAATCGGTCAGTCATGATAATTTGTCAGATAAATTCATGTTACAGATTGTTCAATGACAGACTACAGAATATATATGGCTATTAATAGTTGAGTAAATTCCATAGTTATAACTTACAGTTAACTGATCAACATTTGGTGATTGGATGTAATAAGTCTGATATTTAACTGACAGGAGCATTGGATGTACGGTGGTGGAGATGGCCACTGGACAGCCTCCTTTCCCAAATCTGACTCCATTTCAAGTTCTCTTAAAAGTTGGTAATGGAGGTCTTCCAGAATACAACCTACCAGAAAAATCTTCAGAAGCCTTAAAGTTATTTTTAAAAAAAACATTTCAAAAAGATGCCACATCAAGACCTACAGCCCATGAACTTCTTAAGGTTGATTTTGTCACAGGTAAAAGCCAATAAGCTTCTAAAAAAAAATTATTGCATCTAGTACAATTGAATTTCATCTGAATATTTATGTGCATTCATTCTATGGTTATTGGTATTAGTCATGAATACATTAAATTTTATTTTCATTTAATTCTTTAATTACATTTTAGAGTCATGTCTGTCACCTGAAGTTCCGCTCAACCGTGAAAAGGCTAAAAAAATAGGAGTAGGTTCATTTGGACTCGTCTTCTTGGTTCTAAATTTAGACAAACCTCAAGACAAGCTGTTTGCTGTCAAAGAGATTTCAATTGAATCTAAGAAAAGAGAACAGATCATGGTAAACTTTTGCATGGCGTTGTTTATAGCTCAAGATAAGTTGTTCTGAGAATGTAATCACAAAATGATTTGATAGGTGATTGTTGTTTATAGACAATGATTCTCAATTTAAAAAATTATTCCCAATCAAGTTATGAAAATTTGTTCCAACTTGCAAAAATTTAGAGAAATTCTTCAAATTTACTCGTCAATAAAATTGTTTTATGAAAAACAAAATATATTTTAATATTTAATTTAGGAAGGATTTATGCAGCCAAAATAGATATTTTCAAATCTCAGTTTTATTTGATAAATATTTCTTTACTTTCCAGTCTTTGTTTCGAGAAGAGGCCAATATCTTGAGGCACATTCATCATGACAGGATTGTCCCATTTTATGGGTACAGTGAGTCAGAAAATGTATTATCCTTGTACATGGCCTACATGAAACTGGTAAGGAAATTCATTTGTACCGGTATCTAAGTTTATAATGAATTTGCATTACATGAATGCCATCTTACCGATAGTTACATTTGTTAGAGGAGAGAAAACAATGGCATGCTTTGATTTAACCTTATTTATATTTTATCTTTTAAAGATAAGATCCCTTCCATCAACTTTTTTTAATGTTTCTTTTTATCAAATCTTTAAATATTGCAGGGATCACTTGAAGACTATATCAGTTCTAAGGGAAGGCTGTTAGAGGAGAAAGCAAAACTTTTTGCGGTACAAATCCTTGGAGGAGTCCAGCATTTACATGACAATGGCATCATCCATAGTGACATCACAGGTTAGTCCAAATTTACATGACATCCGCATAGACATTACAGGTTAGCCCAATTTACATGGCATCATCCATAGAAATATCACAGGTCAATCAACATTTCATGACATCATACATATTGACACCACAGGTTAGTTCAAATCTACATGAAATCATCCTTAGAGACATCACAGGTTAGTCCACATAACAGAAAAACAAAGTGCAGATATGTATCCAAGGTTGTGTTAAGACAATGATTTTAGAACATCCCATTTAACTTAGTTAAATCTCTGACAATGCGCTTCAAAATGTCACCAACTCTTTGCCGTGGTAAAGTGGAATTTGTACTAAAACAACTGAATAAGCAAAATTTTACTCAAAATAAAGGAACATTTCCTGCATGATGATTATGAGTGCTAAACTTGAGAGAATCAAATATATCATATATACTGGTCTATTAGCTGGCTTTATTTTAAATATTTGGGAATAAGTGGGGTGGTCTGCTTATGAATGGGTTGTAAGAGATTTTTCTAATTTTGTCCATGTATATAGATTCTGTTATAGAAGTCACACACTTTTCAGGCTTTTCTCTGCCCAAACTGAAAGTGTTGACTTATGAACGAATGGGCTAATGAACAAGTATAATATATGGTACACATACATTTTAAGATAGAAGTTTCATAACAATTAAAAAGGGTTTTGTCATATGAAAATATGGTAACTCTGCTTTCTTTCTTTCTTTAATATCTAATTTAAATCTATTCCTCAAATCTAGGGAAACATGTCCTACTGGACAATGAAAACAGCGCCCAACTGGGGGGCATCAGTGTTTCTAAGACATTCCGCAAGCAGCCCCAGACCAAGGCCATCCTCACACAGGATAGTGAGACAGGATGTGTCGGGTCAGTGAACTGGATGGCACCTGAAATGATCAAAGGGATTATGGAGGATGGCAAGTTTGATAATAAAGTTGATATTTGGTAAGAGATCTCATATAGTTATATGTTTTATTTGAAGTGTATTAAAAAAAAATCATGTTCATTCAGTAACAAATAAAACTCTGGAGTTTGACTTCCTTCATAAAAAATGTCCCTAGCGTAAAATATTATATTAATTTTATTATATAATGTTAAATTACAGTATGTTATATATATAATAAATTATATTATGACAAATTAAATTGAGGCTGTCTCACTGGCTACCAGCAGCCTGCATGCCGCATGATAGCATCAGCATAGTTTTTTTTTCCTTGTGATAATCAGACTTTAATTATGTAAAGTATATCATATGAATTATTTGCTGCACTGTACTTACTATAATACTTTTAATGCACTGGTATTATATTTGTTGTTCGTGTTTATAAGGTTTCAAGTAAATTTTCTCAATTTAATTTCTCTGAAATTGAAAGTGTACACTTGAGAAAAATATAAAAATGTATAAAAAGCAACAGACTTTTTATTTTAATAGAGTGTAAACTAAATGCAAAATACTTTTGACAATATGACAGTGTCAACCTAATTTCTAATGATACCCTTAGTCAATTTAAGATCACTCCTTTATATTAGATATATCTATATATATAATTCGCCAGCAAAGGTCAAACACCACCACCACGTAGGCTATATATAGATAGCCAGAGTGAGGTTTTAAATAATGAGTTCACTAGCGCGCAAAATATAATTCCCGATAAGTACGCTAAATGATATATATGTATTTTTTTAATAATGCAATTGCTCTTGGTGCGCAACATTTTCTTTTCGGAAAATGAAATCGTCTCAATTTAAGTATGATTTAAAAAATATTCGGGTTAAAAGTGGTTGGGACATCCGAATTTTTAATAAAGTTGATGGGCGTGAAATACAATGTGTGCAGTGACATATCATGGAGGGAAAGGGTGTAGCGAAAATTGGTATTCTTAAATGTGCATTACCTGAGTTCATGTATTGTGAAGTAACTTTAGTAGGTGGAAAGTTCACGCATTGCTGTCACCAATGTTTGGCGGGCTATATCTATTTTTATTATATTATCTAAATGTATTATAATTTTAATTATGTGTTATGATATATTAGATCATTTTGTTTACACTTTAATATACTCCATTATATTTTCTTACTTATTAAAATGTATTATTTATTATTATTGAATTTAAGATTCTTTATTTCAAAATCAATTTATTCTCTTTTGTAAAGTTACAAGTATTATCCTAAAAACATAAGATAATGTTTTTTCTAAGTTGTTGTAACTAAGCCTAGATGTACATCTCTCACAGGAGTGTTGGATGTACAGTAGTCCAGATGGTCACAGGGTCACCTCCATTCTCTGACCTCGAGCACCAACAAGTCATATTTCAGTTAATCACATCAGAGAAACCTCCAGCCTACAAGCTTCCAGAATCTTCCTCACATGCCATTAAAGACTTCCTAAAGAAAACATTTGAACGAGCTCCAGAACAACGCCCCAGTGCAGCTGAGTTATTGAGCCAAGATCCTTTTCTGTCAGGTATGAGAAATATTGGAGCTCTTTCAACTTATCTGTCGACCTAAACATATGGCAAGAAGTAGGTCAGACGTTTAATATAACATTTAAACTAAAGTGCCTAATGTTTTAATACTTTTGTGCTCTGAAATTGTTGTTGGTAATTTATGTCTCCTGTGTTATGTAAAATATGTGGAGCATTAATGTTTCTTTCTTTTCCTCACTTCACGTTTGGGCTTTATTGCTTATAAGATGAATTTAAAAAAAACACGAGCTTTTTTTCCTTCATAATTTGACAGTTGTGAATCCAAAAATGAATTCTGTATGATGCAGATGAACCACATTTTGTTCCCGTAGTTTTGCTAGGATTTTGTCAGATTAACATGTATTGGAGTTGTTCTTGTGAATTTGACTAAAGAAAATCTCTGGATCATCCAAAGTGAACAGTTTTTAAATTTCAAATGAGATGTGCCTTGAAGATTATTATCCTTTGTCATTAGATTATTTTAATCTTCAACCAACTGGTGTCTAACTTACAGTAACTCATGTAATCCATGTGATTTAACTGAGGCCACTTTTTGAATTTAGTTATTATAAGCCCTGTAATATCACATATTCTGGCTTTATGTCTTCTCTAATAATATTCAAGCAAACATGGGATAATATTCAACACTGGCTAATCAGCAGTTTTGACACTTAACAGCTTTGACATATTTTAGTCCTGTTTGTAAGATAGCTGATCATAGCCTGTGGCGTCAATAGAAGTGTAACATTTTGCATCTGCTGCATGACTGGGGCTCGTCTGCAGTAAAAAAATTAATTTAATTCAACATAGTCTTAGTTTAACAGACTAGAGGGAGGTAATTCAATGCATTGCTCGTTAAAAATGTAGAGGGAGGTAATAAACTGTAAATTGTTTTTGTTCTCCAGATCAGTAACAGGTCAAGAAAAAAAGTCAAGATATAGATTATTATAGTAGCCATCATCAACCATGTAGTGTTTGTTGAGTTTTTTAAAATAAATTTTTATCCCTGCATATTTCCAGCAGAATTACTCACCATTTGAATTGTTTTGCAATTAATGTGATAACTAAAATATTTCAAGATTGCCATTATTCAAATGGAAAGCACCCTTCATTAATTTCTTTCTGTTAAACACATTTTAATTAATTTTTGTTCCCATACTTTTCTTAATGTTGTTTAAAACTATAAACCTGCCATTTAATTGTTCAGTCCAAATGTGTCATCATTTTGTTAAATGCTCAATCTCAACGATCATTGAGAGGATTTATACAACATGACGTCAACCAGCATTAACAAGTACTTATTGTTTATACAACATGACGTCAACCAGCATTAACAAGTACTTACTGTAACTGTTTTTTATGATTTATCCAAATCAACCAGCATTAACAAGTACTTAGTGTAACTGTTTTTTATGATTTGTCTGATAATGTTCAATGTTGGATATTTTTTAAACTCCAAATCAACTACCATTATCAAGTACTTGCCACAATAAATCTATTTTATCTATTGTCAGGTAACGATATTGTTAAATTTGTCGAATGAAAATGTAGTAGTAACCGAATGGAGATTAAACAAAAAAAGAAATATGCAATGAATTGATTAATTATTTTTAACAATTAACTATCCATTCAACAGTTTGAGAAATGATGTAAGAATTTTAATACATGTTTTTAGCAGGACATTTGACTTGATTTAAAACCAACATTTGTCAAATAAATCTCCAGCTGTAAAATATTTCCATCAGATATTTGGATAGCTGGAAATTGAAATTTTGAGATCAGTCTTGAAAAAATCTCAAAATTTAAATTTCCAGAAATACGAATATCTCCATTGTTCATTCCAACTAGATGACAATCAAGGCAGCAATTTTTAATGTATTTTTTTAAAAGTGAAACTGTTACTGTTTTAAATTGAAATGTTTATTTTTTTATATTGAAATAATAATTTTTGTAGATGGAACTAAAGAACTGCAGCAACAAGTTATTTATTCCTACTGTACAAAATATTGATTAGTGAGTGACCCACTTTACTAACAGTCATGTTGCTAAACCACAGCAAATACATGAATAAATAATGACAAGAAAAAAAATATTTGTGTATCCAAGAAACACATGTGCATGTTGGTCAAGGTATTTTTAGTCTCTTATGTACCACTCGTGGCTTTGTACAAATGTCAAATTGCTTAAATAACTTTTTTATATTTTTTAAATTTGTGGTATAAAGAAATATATATTGTAATTTTCTTACATTTAAACTATTGCTTATTGTATTCAAGCCCTGCTGACTAAAATTTTTAATTTGTATTTCAAGTCTTATTAAATTAATGCTATTTAATATATTTTTGGTACTCTTTTAGTAATAAGTCAAATGTTTCAACATAAAAGTAAAAAATCATTCACTAAAAAACTTTAAGAATTCAAATGAAGTATTCTACCTATATATTTGATTTATTTGACAAAATCAAACTTTTATCCATGCCATTATGTATCAGAATGTTATTGTTTTTTTTAAAATGTATCTTAAAAGAAAGATCCATAATTTTTTTTTCTAACCCTTAATTTTTTAATTTCAAATTTTTTTTTTAATTGTTGTATCCAAAATACAGGCCCTTCTTGTTTCAAATAGGAATTAAAATATTTTATTTTAATTTTTAAAAAAAAAAAAAGGTCTAAAAGACACATTGTATGTTATAGGACGTAATGGTATGATCATCAAAAATTGTGTAATCATGATGCATCAAATAGTTAAATTTATTCATTAAACTAAAGAGAGGGACATGTATTTCTTGTTTTACTATGTGTAAAAAAAAATTGGCTAATTGTTTTGCTCTTAGAGCTGTTCATTGATATAGAGAATGGGTCATTGGTCTAGAGAGCTGGTCATTAGACTAGACAGCAATGTTCCAAGGCTGAAGAGCTTTAATGTGATTAAACAAAAAAATGTTGACTTAAATTTATGTAATATTATCAGATGTTATCTTTTAATAGACATTTAAGAAAGTGGTATAATTTCTTTTTTTCTTACATGACTTAGAGAAATAAATTTGATATGTCTTCCATGGTTTTATTTTAGAGTTCACAATTGCCTTTTTTACTTTATTTTTAAAAATATCTTTATGAACCACATCTATTACATCAGGCTGCACACAAGCAATTTGTATTTTACTGATTTATGTATATCTGTCTCTACCAACTAATAAATTATTTTTAAAAACTTCTCAAGTTTCATGGCTTTTAATGTATTTGTTGTAATATTAATTTAATGCTTCAATTATGCGTTTGCATTTGTATTTATACTATACAAGATGCATCATGTGTCCTTTTCTAAACAGGGAACCTAAGGCAGTGGTCGGCGAACTCATTAGTCAAAAGAGACGAAATTCAGAAGCAGGGTGATTAAAATTTTTTAGAGAGCCAAATTTCTTTTCAAGAGCCTGTCAAGAACCATGTTTTTCAGAGTACAAAAACCAATTCGTGACCAACTGGCCGATCCGCACTCAGATCAGCAGACCACTGACCTAGGGGAATGTGAATGGGGTTACCTACCTGGGTGTCACTTTTGGGGCTTACATTGAGCAATACATAAATGATGTGGGCATTAGGGCGATGACAATTAGTCAATGTACACCACTGCCCATCCCAGATGCTTCATGTGCAGTGTGATTGATGTGCTGCACAGCCTTGATGCTTCATGTGCAGTGTGATTGATGTGCTGCACAGCCTAGATGCTTCATGTGCAGTGTGATTGATGTGCTGCACAGCCTAGATGCTTCATGTGCAGTGTGATTGATGTGCTGCACAGCCTAGATGCTTCATGTGCAGTGTGATTGATGTGCTGTTTATTTTACATTATTCTATATATTTTATCAAGCAACGCACCTGTAAGGACTAACCAGACTGTAACCATTTGTTACAAAACACCAAGCAAAACACCTTAGGACTAACCAGAGTGTAACCATTTTTGTATTGAAAGAAGTTTCATCAAAGATGTGTAGATCGACATATGCCAAGGTCAAAGGCCATATTCTTTTGAAAGGATACCAAACTCAGGCTCAACCATTTTATTACACATAACTTTTAAAAACATCAAACTCTTTATTTTAGAAACAAAGCATAATAATTTTTAATAATAGGTTAAAGTGCAACTTCTCTAGTGAAAAAGCATGACTTCAATTGATGACAACATAAAAAACAGCCTTCGATCGGCCAGCCTCCCCACAGGTACAAACATGTTGGTTTTACTCATGCTAATCAATCAAACTTTCTATCACACTCACTGCCTCATAGAAATTATCCACTACTTTGTACGGCTGTGGGCTGATCTTCTTCTCATCTCCTTCTGTGTATTTACCTGAAGCAAAATAGAAATAAAATTAAAACGCAATCCAATAATTTAATCTCATCCTTATTTCAGTGTTTTAATTGTAAATGTAATTTAAGAATGTTGTTGATCTCTACTGCTGTAAATATAAATTCATTTCCTAAAATATATATATATATATATATATATATATATAAAATATATATATATATATATATATATATATGTGTGTGTGTGTGTGTATGTATGGCATCCTTCCGTCTTCGTGAGACGATGGAGTAGCTATATAGTTCTACACTTTGACGAGTGGCTCACTAGGCCAATCCTAGAATGGCAATCACGGCCGCATCTCTCGCAGGAGAATATTGAATCATGGTAAATTCTTGATTTCCGAATTGTTCTTTTTGATTCAAGGGCCTCGTTTCGAGCATCTTCTGCCTTTATTACTCCTTCAAACACCGCTGATCGCCAGTTACAGCGATGTTCGGCAATGAACTCCCATTCGTTTGTTTCAATATTGGCTTCCCGCATGCTTCGTTTGCAAACGTCAATAAATCTCAGGCGCGGTCATCCAATATGTCTTGTCCCTCCTGCCAACTCTCCATACAGCAGTATCTTTGGGATACGTCCTTCTTCCATTCTCCGTACATGACCTAACCAGCGAAGGTGCCTCTTGATTAGAAAGGAGAATATGCTAAACATGTGTGCACGTTCCAAAACCT